CGGCCGGCCACTGGTCCCAAAGCAACGCCAAGGAGCCAGTCCCAGCAGGATACCCCGCATTCAGCAAAGGGAAACCAGGGCAAAACCGGCCAGGAGCTGACTATGGGCACCAGGAGCGAACTGGCCACAAAGCGTGGCTTGTGGAGGCCGAGACCTGGCCGGACAAGGCAGGACCCCAGCAGAAGCGACTGGCGAGAGGATGCTCTCTTCCTGCTCCCCCCCAGCTCCAAACAGCACTGGGATAACATAACCCACCACTGTGGAGGGAAACGGGGTCCAGGGCAGGATGAAAGGTCCACTTGCAGATGAAACTACAGGGATGAGAGATAACCAGCACGGGGGGCCAGCGGGCAACGGGCAGAGGAGACCACTGACCCCGGGCTGCTCGCAGAAGCCCCAGCCATTCCTCCGTCAGCAAACAGCTCATCCACCTACCCCAGCTCACCAGGAAAATAAACAGACCGTGAGGGGCTGGGACGGGGGCTGAAGGGGCACAGCCGAGACCGTCAAAGCCCCGATCCCCCCCAAGAGAGACAAAGGGGGAGCTGCACTTTGCAGCTAAAGGTACTTCAGCCAAACAGACCTGGTAGATGCATTAAAAAGCACAAAGAGCACAGTGTGCTCCAGGCTGGGAGCGGATGGTTCAGCTTGGCCTTGGACAGCCCTTCCAAATGGCTCCTACCTGCCTGGCTCCTGGGAACAGGCATGCGGACAAAGTCCAGTGCTTCGAAAGGAGGGAGGGGAGAGGCGAGGAGCTGGGATTTCAGCCGGAGCCGCAGCACCGTGCGAGAGCTCCTGCAGCAGTGGCGGCAAGACAGACGGATGATACACGTCCAGCATGTTCCCAGCACAGACAGTCCCCCGTCCCCACCCCTGTCCCCCACCAGCTCCAGATGCATCAGCTAAGACGGGTGCCTGAAACCCACTTTTCCAGCCCCGTCCCCCCCCTGAACACAAAACTCGCTGAGGCCGCAGGGGAAAGCTGCTCTGCAAGGTACAGCAAAGGTCCCAGCTGCTGGACCAGCAGCATCCCTCCCTGCTGAGGGAACTAGCACAGATCAGTCCGTGTCCCCACCTCATCTGCCACCTTTCCTGCATCAGAGATGACCCATAAGGGTCTCGTACCAGCACAGTTCCTGTGAGCTACAGGAGTGGTGTGAACTTCCAGCTCAATAAAACCAGCCAGTGAGCTGCTCCACCCCAAACTGATCCTGCTTGGCTGGAAACCAAGGTCTCTGCAGACCTGACCACGTCACAGCAATCACGGCTTCTAATCCACGAGCCTGCAAATCTTCCCTTCCCCATCGCCCACCCAGCAGGGCTGCAAGGGGGACTTATCAACAGGCCAGCATGCCCGCTGATGACACTTTGCAAAATACCTGGTTAAGCAACGACGGGAGCAAACGCAAAATGGAGACAAATCAAAGATGCCAGATGGGTTCAGAAATGCTTCCCCTTCCCACACCCAGCCTCTCGCTACTCAGTGTGGCAGGCTGACCACAGGGGCTAAAAATTGGGGTCCCCAGAGCCCGGCAGCAGGCTGGGCAGCTCACCGTGGGCACACATCCTGTCCCATGCTGGGGAATGGATTTAGCTGGCTGCTGACCGGGAGCCTTGCACCGAGCGTTTCTGCCCCGTGACCTGCTCTGAACGGCAGACAGCGTTCGCATGCAGACCCTCCGGGGCAGCTATCAGCCAGACCTTTACACGAAACCCTGAAATGCCCCCCATCCTGGCTGCTATTTTACTTCATCTGTTTGCTCTCCCTCTCCCCAATTGCCATAGTAACCCCGCACAAAGCGCCTTCTGTGCCACCGGCTCCGCTGGCAGCGCCGGCCGCAGCGCGGTGACTCACGCGGCAGGAGCAGGGTCCACGCTGCCGGGGCCAGGCGTCCCACGGGCTGTGGCGTCAGCCCTTCCTTCAGCCCTGGCTGCAAGAGGGAGG